TGTGTGGATATGGTCGATGGTACTGAATCCTTTTCGGAATCCAGCTTGTTCACATGGTTGTCCTTCATCTAGTGTTCTGCTAATCCTATTCAGGATGACTCGAGTGAATAGTTTGTAGATGACAGACAATAGGCAGATTGGGCGATAGTTGCCAATGTCGTGGATGTCTCCTTTCTTGTATAGTAGTACAGTCTTGCTGGTTTTCCATTGGGATGGAACCTTGCATTCAGACAGGTAGCGTGTGAAGAGTCGAGCTAATGTATTGATGAGTACTGATGGTAAGTTCTTCAGGTGTTCAGGTCTGATCTTGTCTGGGCCAGGTGCTTTTTGTTTCTTTACCGACGAGATGGCATGTTGGATTTCGGAAGGGAGAACATTGGGAACGACATATCCATCATGTGGTATGTGGTATGTGGGCAAGTGGATGTGGCTATTAAAGAGATCTGAGTAGAAGTCATGAATAATCTTCTCCATTGCCCTTCTGGAAGATGTGATAGATCCATCATGATGTCGGAGGGCAGTCATCTTGGTTTTGTAGTTGGTGAAGGACAGGCGGGCATTACGAATGTTTTTCCCAGCTTCTGCTGCATCTACCAGTACTGCTGCTCTCCTGTTTTTGAGGTCATCCTTGATGGCTTTTCTGCACTGTTTTGCCAGTTCGGACGTTTGCTTGTGGTTGCCTGAGGCACGTGCCACGCCACGTTGGCGAATAAGTTCAAGAGTGTTCGAAGAAAGACGGTTTTTTGTGGTTATCTCTCTCTTGGCATTCCTTGCACAATCATGGAGGTGCTGAATCATTCGATCGTATTCCTCATCAATGTTGTCAATGACGGCATCTTCCCATGTTGCTGCAACAGAGCCAAAGAGTTCCCAGTTGGTGGTTGTTCTGGGAGTCTTCTTCTTAAACCTTGCATTGTTTTCTCCTCGTTCTGTGAGGTAGAATTTTGCACGAAGAAGACGGTGGTCTGATCCCGTTTGGAATTTTGGGACAACAGCAACATCGGTTAGGCAAAACCGCCGATTGAATATGATGTGGTCTATTTCATTGTGGAACCGTCCATCGGGAGACTCCCATGTCCAACGTTTAGATTCAGCCTTTTGGAATTGTGAGTTACCATGGAAGGTTTTGGTTGACATGATGAACTCAGACAGTCTGTCACCTTGTTCGTTCCATTCCAGGCCATGGGTTCCGATGTGGAGTTCATCGACTGATCTTCTTGGTCCTATCTTGGCATTAAAATCACCGACAATGATCTTGTAGAAGGTGTGATCTTCTTTATAGAATTTCTCCAGCTCCATGTAGAATTTCTCAGTTTCTTTTTCACCATAACTGGATGTTGGTGCGTAGACAACAAAGATAGAAACTGCCGGTAGTGAGCCACATTTATTCAAATGTAATCGTCCGATTCGGGTTGTTAGGCATTCAAATGAATCAATGCTTGTGACTAAGTTTGTGTTGACAAGGATACCGACACCACCGACGCCTCTTTTATCACATGTTCCAAGGAACAGTTCTTCTCCAGTGTCGAAAACAGCATGATGGGATTGATGTCTTCTCGTTTCGGTCAGACCAATGATGTCGTACTTGATCTTTCGTGCTTGTACCATAAGGTCTTCAATGGATGCAGCAGATGCCAGCGTACGAGCATTAAAAGTACAGACAATCATTTTTGTTTTTCTGCATTTTGGCAGCCCATGTCTGCCTTGGTGTTTTATCAGCTTCTCCTTCCATATCCTTCTCGACTCTGCATAATCAGGGCTAGGGGAATGAGATCCATTTATTACTGGATTTGGCATATCAATTTGGTCTATTTGGCATAGATCACGGATAGCTTGCCAGGCTCTGCCGTGTGGGTTGGATATTTAAGGATATTTAAGGTATCCGGAAAATTATTAAATAAATAAATAATTTAAATAAATTATTAAATAAATATCCTTTATGTGGTATATAAAGAAACAAAGCTAAAGAATATGCAGTGTCCAATGGAAAAAAAAAACCCTTGAACTCTAGCAGAAAGAAGTCACCAAGTTAGATTTGGGAGGGAGGAATAGAGCAGATTAAGGGGAATTAACGGTGATGGAGGGTGCTGGCAAATTTTGCACTGATGATGGTGATACAGTAGCATTGCATGTCAAAAGTAGAAGGATTAACACTATTATAAACCACATTACCTCATGTATAGCACGATAGCACTGTCCTCGCATTGTTCATCAGTTTTCTCGAGCGGGTATCAGTAACGTCTCACAATAAATTGTGAGACTTGTTGTTACTTCTTTTTTTTTTTGCATATCTAATATGTCACTGGTAGCTTGCCAGTCTTTGCCGTGCAGGCAAAATACTCTCAGTAGCTTGCCTGGCTCTCTGAGAGGGGCGGAGGAATTGAACCTGGGTCGGCTGTGTGCAACCTTACCCACTACGCTATCACTCTAATTAAAAATCAAAATAACACGTTTCCATCTAATGGAATATACTATTATGTATACACAGTGGACAGGTAGTACATTCATAAAAAAATTGGGTGGATGCTTGGGGCCACACCTAGAAGTACTCATGGCTTACTCCTGGCTCTGTGCTCAGGGATTACTTCAGTTGGTATTAGGGGACTATATGCAGTGCTGGGATTGAATCAGAATTCGCTGCATGCAAGGAAAGTACTCAAATCTCTGTAATATCTCTATGATCCCCATATTTTTTAAAAGTAAAAAAAAAGTCAAAGTTTGCCTTTAAATACAGGCATATAAGAATTTCTTTACTCATACCTTCTTGTAGCAAACAAGCAATTCCCATTTGCACTTGAGGTTACTAACTCTCTGCTGTATTGTTCCAGCACACTCTGGAAAACAAAGGTCTGGAAAAAACGTTGCCTGATAATGGTAACCCTGAGTCACATGTGGAACATTAGTTTCAATTAAAAACATTATTTCAATTCAATTGTTTTCAATTCATCTTATTCAATGAATAAAATGAGAAACAAATTGAAAATTAGGTTTTGAGTTATATTAAGTTAGAGTTAGCACTCAATTGTGCATGATACTACCTAATGGCTACTAAACTGTGCAGATGTGAGCTTTCCACATGGCGGTTACATGGGAAGCATTTAGTAGGTTTTGTACTAGCACTTAAATAAATTATAAAGAAGTGTTCAGGGAGAAAAAAGAAAAGGCTTCTCAAACGTGTTTTTTGCTTTTTTTTTTAATCTTTGTTTTTGTGCCACACCTGGAGGTTCTCAGGGCTTACTCCTGCCTCTGTGCTCAGGGATCACTCCTCATGGGACTCAGGGGACCCCATGTGGTGTCAGGGATTAAACCCAGGTTGGTCAGATTCCAGACAAACACCTTACCCCTGAACCATCTCTCCAGGCTCTCAAAAATGTATCTTTTTAAATTATTATAGTTTAGGTTATATGTTTTTAGAGTCACTGTCACTGTCGTCTCGTTGTTCATCAATATTTGCTTGAGCGGGCCCAGTAACATCTCCATTTTGAGACCTGTTGTTACTGTGTTTGGCATATTGCATATGTACGGGGAGCTTGCCAGGCTTTGCTTTGCGGGCGAGATACTCTTGGTAGCTTGCCAGGCTCTCCGAGAGGGGCAGAGGAATCGAACTGGGCCACGCTGGCTGCATACAAGGCAAATGCCCTACCACTGTGCTGTTGTTCTGGACATTTTTTTATGTATTGTCATGGTATACAAACATCTCTCCCCTTCTCCCCACCCCACCTTGTTTTTTAGTGGAGGGCACACCAGCAGGGCTTACTTCTGGCTCTGAACTCAGGAGCCACTCCTGGCAGGGCACCCAGGCAACCATCTAGAGGGCCAGAGATCAAATCCGGTTTAGCCCTGTGCAAGGGTTATACTTTCTTGTACTTTCCATTGTAATTGCTTGGGTCCTGGTGTGTTGAGGCTGGACTGAGCAATCTCAGGATGAGCCCATGCAGACTGCACCGCACAATGGGCAGGAACATAGGCAAAATTTCTCGTGTGTCCTGACTGGTTTGGATGAAGGTGAGTATCTTTTCCTTTAAGCTGCCTTCAGTAAATAATTTCATAAATTTCAGTTTATTGAAAAAGGCAGTTTTCCTTTTCTCACAGAAGCCTGGCTTGTCTTTGACATGCAGATTTCAGGTGCTAGCCCAGTCTGATCCTTGACATAGATTCCAGGTGCTAGCTCAGCCTAGTCTTTAGGATGTAGATTTTGGGTGCTTCTAGCCCAGGAAAGCTTTTGGTTTCGGTTTTGATCCACTGATCTGCAGATGCAAGGAAACAATACATGCCTGTCTCAATGTTCTTTCTGTAACTTCTTTTGATTATGGCATCATATTGTGCCCTTTAGAGGTATGATGATCAATAAAAGGAGACATCAGGATGCTCTGCCTTTTGTCACAGAATTAGAGCAAGTCCAGTGATCCTCTATGAATATAATTTCTCTCAAGTTCCTTGTCTCAGCACCTCCAACTGAATGAATATTCATGCAACACTGGTGGACCAACATTTCTTTACTAATAAAATTTCACTTGGTTGAAGTTAGCAGAATCTTCACAGAGATACTAAAGTTCATAGTTGTCTTTACTGTCCTTTGAAATGCAAGAATCTTTGGAATTGGGTTTCGTGTTCCAGTGCAGGTCCCCATCCTACCCTGCAAGAAGGGACAGTCATTCCTCTGTTCATTTTACCAACAATTTGAGGTGGAGGAGGGCAGAAGTCATAAACATGGGAAAAATTTTGCTGGGAAGAAGGGAATACTTACAGCATTGTTGTTTTAGCAAACGGAATACCAATAAAGATAAGTGAGTCAAAGAAGGCAGCAAATAGCTGACTAAGAGCAGCTATACTGAGGAGCGTGGCCATGTGGCTGGGGAGTACTACCCAGTGAAGAACAGAGTCATAACAGAGGGAGACAATAGGGAACAGTAAGAAGTCTAAAAGCAGAATGACAAGAGTTTACTGCTTTGTGCTCTCCTATTCACTTAGGCGCCACCTCATTCCTATTTCTTACTTACTTCAGCCAGTAAAAATAGGGGCTCAATCACATCTCTCTCTACTTGCAATTCAAAATGAATCAGTTCCTGAGCCAACTTGTCCTCTGTCTCTCCACAGAGTTTGAGCATTTTCCTGTAACAGAAGGGGGAAAAAAATCATACTAAATACCATAGAAAGAAATGTATCACTCATCACCATGCTACAGAGATGACTCCATACCCTGTACCTCATCAGGGTCTGTCTCTTCAGGGGCAACCTAGGGTGGGGGGATAAGTCCCCCCACATGTTCCAAAAGAGTCCAGTTAGCCAAATCCCTTCAGAACCCAATTGCCATCATACTCACAACCAATTTCCACCAGCTCAGACAAGCCTCATCCATGAGGGAATCTACTGAAAAACCCAGGACCTCCCTGCAGCTCCCTGTGCATGCAGGAGCCTGGCAGTCATGTCTCTGAACTTGCCTCTGGTGCCCTATAAGCTCATTAATAGTCATGATCCAGAGACTCACAAATAAATCTCTTAGAAGAGAGTAATACAAGAGCAACACACTGTAGTGACACCTCCGTACCCCAAAGTCATCATCCAGTTAAAGAAAAAAAATTAAATTAACCTTAGCTATATCACCGTATTAAAAATTTTAGAATTCCTGGAGCAATATCTCAAACTCTTCACCACTGATGTATCAAGAATAGAACACCACATTTGATGTGGTGTAAAAAAGCAACCAACCTCAAAAAAAATACACACACACACACACACACACACACACACACACATATATGCACACAAGACTCAACCTGTTATCAACATCTTATTATCTCTTATACAAAGGCTTAATTGCTCCAGGGTAAAATACAACAATCTTCATACACTTTCCTCTAAGGAAAATTTTTTGAATCATTTTTAGCAGATTATTCATAACAAGTAGTATAAAATAAATTATTTAGATCTGGCTTTGGGGACAGGTTTTGAGGGTCAGGGTGGAAACATCAGAATATGGTGGTGGTAAGGTGTAATGGTAGTGGAATTGGTGTTAGAATATTAAATTTAATAAATTATGTGAACAACTTTATAAAAATTTTAAAATAAAAAATAAAATAAATTAACTAGTGAATTTAGAATAAAATGTGGAGATGAATTGAGGTGTTAAAACTTGCTCTATTTGCTTTTTTTAAAAAATTATTTATTTATTTTTTATTAGTGAAACACCATGAGGTACAGTTATAGAAAACTTGTTCTATCTGCTTTCATTTCTGGAATCATCAGTTTGATAAATGATACTGAGTACTTACTATGTGCCTTGGGGAAAGGGTTGGGGAAGTGATGTGCAAATCTAAGAGCAATGTAGAGAGAGTATATTCAGAGAGGATGATTTCACAAGCATCAAAAGAGACACACATCTATCTTTTCTGAGTGCATTCAAGAAATTAGCTAAAATAGATACCAGAGTAAGCATCTTCAAACTCAAAAAAAAACTTAATTTCAATAGGTTCTAGTAGATAGAAATCTCTTGCCCTTAAACCATGAAAGCTTATGTAATATAGCATGAACAGGTGTTTATCCATTGGAAAATAGGAATAAAAATAATTCCAATACTTTAATAATGAGTAAATAAAAAGTTGAAACAGTAAAAACTGAAGCATTATTTCTGAGATTGTAATATGTAAAAATGTCAATTTCTCCTGTAAGTTATATAAGTAGACCACCCTTTACATAGTAGCATGTTAACTGAAATTAACATAAAATGTTTTAATAATTTATATAATTACTAAAGTTATAAAACATATTTCCTCTTTAATAAGGATCAGTTGTCTTTAGTCATGTACAATTAGGTTGTTTTGCTTTATATAATTTCATTTTGCATATACTACCTTTTTTTTTTTTTATTTTGGGGCCTCTTCTGCCAGTGCTGTGGGCGACTCTTGATGGTCCTCACGGGACATGCCAACTAGGGATCAAATCCCACTGAGCTATTTCTTAGACAAATACTACCACTTATTAACCCTTCCCATCATCAATATACTTTGGCTCTAACATTCAATGTTGCAGTATATATACTTTTACAGTCTTTCTCTAAATGTATATGAATTTCTCTGTGCAAAGAGAAGCTAATATGCATACTTTTTTCTAGATTATTAGAATACTGCTCCCCAAAGTGATTATGTTACCTTCACTATCACCAGTAGAATCAGAGTTCTTCTCTCTTACAGCTCTTGGTACTGTGAAATACTGTAGTTTCTGCTAAGCTGGAAGATAAGAGATGTCATCTAACTTTGGTTCTAATCCACATTCCTTGACTACTGGTGAAACTGGTTATCATTACATTATTCATGTTGTTTAGGGTCCTTCTTTCATAAAGTGACTATCCATACCAAATTTCAATGCATAATTATTTCAATGCATAATTATATATTTTATAGTGATTTTTTTTGCAAAAAGGTCAGATACAATCATTATTTGAAGTTTTTTTTTAAGTTTATCAACCAATTTTTGTACCGAGAAAATAACAGTGCAATGATTATACAGTAGAAATTTCTAAGTAAATTTATTTATAAGTAAACATTATATTTATTATTATATTGTAAATAAAAGGCCCTCCCATTGTTCATCGATTTGCTCGAGCGGGCCCAGTAACATCTCCATTGGAGACTTTGTTGTTACTGTGTCTGGCATATCGAATACGTCACGGGGAGCTTGCCAGGCTCTGCCGTGGGGGTGAGATACTCTCGGTAGCTTGTTGGGCTCTCCGAGAGGGGTGGAGGAATCGAACTCGGGTCAGCCATGTTGGCTGCGTGCAAGGCAAATGCCCTACTGCTGTGCTATCACTCCAGCCCATTATATTGTAAATACTATAAATAAATTATAGGTGAAATATGATAGTCTTTCATTATTTTTGTAATAGGATCTATTTAAATTTATTTGTAATTCCATATATTTACACATATGAGTGCCATAAATTCAAATTACTTTTTATTTTTGATGTAAATGTCACTTCTTAAGTTCTAGGTTCATCTTTGCGTTGTCTCGATGCTTCTGGTGATATTTAGCTATATATTTTTAATGTTAGTTTATAATTAAAAAATAGCTATTGACTCGCAACTAGAAAAAATATCTTCACGTATTACAGATGAAATGATAGGCAGGATATCAAAGTCTCTTTGAGCGTCATAATCCTTCAGAATTTTGAATTTACTGCTCAATAATCTAGTATACACCATTGCTTTCGGCAAGTCTGGAAGTATTTCAATTTCTCACTCTATTTAGACAGTCTCCCAGGGGTGTGGAGAAGGACTAGGTTTGAGTGACTCATGGCGCTTGACTATAATTCAACTTACATTTGTGGTATCACTATTCAGCCCCAAAGATGGACTATTTCAGAGATTCCTGGTGCTGCGATTATTGTGCCCTCTGAGTGAGTGAAGGATGAAGGATGAAGGATGTTGGCTCTATTGCTTACCCTACTTCAGATGGGAGTCAGCTTTTGGGGATGTACAAAGGACAGTTTCCAGTCAGCACATGCTCTGCAGCTCACAGAATGTTGTTGCTGTTGTCCTGCTTCTCTTTTTCCAATACGTGTGACAACGTATATTTTAAGAAAAACATACCTTTCCTCGTAGTGGACTTTAGAAAAGCACAGACTAGATGTATGTATTCAGTCTGCTATCTTTACCTAGAAACTCCCCACTCCTCCATCTCTTTACTTTCTTCCTTCATTTATTTTGTTTTTTGTTTGGGGTCACACTGAGATATACTGGAGGTCATTTTCTGATTGGTGCTCTGGGGTCACTCCATCAGTGCTCATAAAATAATGAGGTGCAGAATGAGCCTCGTACTCCTGCATGCATGACACGCATGGCAGCCCTTTAATTTAGCTGTCGGGCCCTCCTCTATCTACTTTCTTGTTTGTTGTGTCATTATGATTTAGGCATATTTTAAGATGCAGAATACAATGGATTTTGTTTTTCTACTTGAGATCCTATATAAGCAGTCCAATCCATTATGATCACAAATACATGTACAGATATGCAGTAATTTGCATTATCTATTTTTATTCTATTTTTCCTATTATTTTTCTCTTTCAATACATGCCATAAACTTTTTTTCTACTTCATTTTCTTGATTCTTAAATTAGTTTTAAAATTATGCATTTTATTTCTAGTTATAGTTATTCTTTACAAATGGGTACACCTGATTTTTTAATAACTTTATTCTCCTTTTAAACAATACAGGAGTTTGAAATACTGATTACATTTTCAATATTTAATGCTGTGATTTTATGGCATTTTAGGTTTCACTTTGCTTTAAATCTCCCCCCCGACACACACACAAATTAACTATTGTTATATTGTAATTTTTAAAAGTTTATATTTCTTTTCTGTTTAAAAATTTGGTTTTTGTGACATATCTGATGGTAATCAGGTCTTACTCCTGGCTCTGCACTCAGGGATCAATCATGACAGGCTCAAGGGGCCATACAAGGTGTCAGGAACCGAACCCAGGTCAGCCATGTACAAGCCAGCACTCTCCCCACTTTACTAACTTGCTAGCCCCTCTTTATTTATTTATAATGAATATGTCACAGAATATGTCACCACAATAATGGGTAATTGTGGCCTAGTTTATTTTGAACTGAGATAAGCAGATGTAGAATGAGCTCTCTGCCCTCCCACGATGTTCCTAAAAGAAGGGTGAATTTTATAGGTGTCTTCTCACTTTTTACTCTAAGTTAAGTTTAAGTTTCACTAGAAACTATGCTAGCTCCTTTTCAAGCTAAAGATTGTCCTGAGGAACACACATTATAAATTTTTCATTAGTTCTGTGTTTGCTTTCCTATGACTTGCTCAAATTTTTCAAAAAAAAATCAAATTTCCTTTCTTGTTATATACCTAAAAATTACCACTCTGTGTTAAGATTGTGTATAAACATGTTCTAGTCACCCCTTTAAGTCATTCATCTAAGTTTTCCAATGTATAAAATTACATAAAATTATATATGTTAATAAAAATGTATATACATTTCTCTTGTAAATCTGTCTTTTATCTGCTGAATTTGCAGGGTTCCAGTCAAAAGACCAAAAGTGGGTAGAGAGAACTGGATGGTTTTTCAACCCTATACAAATGACCACCTTTTTCCCACCTGCTTATTGTCTCTTTTATGATGGGGTGTTGGTAACGGTGATGCAGCAGGAACTGCATACTCATGACAGTACTCATGTACATGGTTATAACACATGAACATTTGGTCATGGTGCATGCGTGCATGTGTGTGTGGGGGGGGGAGGGGGGAGTGGTCGCACACTTAATTGTAGTGGATCACATTTTGTGATATGGTGAGGGGTGAAGGATTAAATTTGCGACCTCAGGTAAGCCAGCCAGGCTCTTCAGAACTGAGACATATCCTCAAGCCCCTACTCATTTTTTTTTAAAGTTACTCTGCTTCTGGGTGGAAACTATTTCATAAAACTCTAATTAGTTCTTTCTGTAAGAAAAATGAAGTAGCAACTTCCATAGATACTTATATGAAGACTTTTCCTTTGAATTTTGAGTATGGCTTATTTTATCATATAAAGGCCCTCCCGTTGATCGTCGATTTGCTCGAGCGGGCCCAGTAACGTCTCCATTGGAGACTTTGTTGTTACTGTGTCTGGCATATCGGATACTCTCGGTAGCTTGCCGGGCTCTCCGAGAGGGGCGGAGGAATCGAACTCGGGTCGGCCATGTTGGCCGCTTGTAAGGCGAACGCCCTACCTGCTGTGCTATCGCATTTTATCATATAATCCTTTCTTATTATTTTTTGTACAATAAGTAAAGATACTACACCACTTTTTCCTGATATTTATTTTGGCTGGTGAATGGTCTGTTAAAAGTCTAATGGTTCTTTATAAATAATTATCTTTTTCTTTCTTCTTTTCTTTTTGTGTTCAGGCCATGTCTGGCTCTATGCTCAGGGTCTGCTAAGCAATCCTGAGGAGACTATGCAGTGCCAAGGACCCAGCACGATCTCAGCCCATGGAGCTGTCTCTCTAACCCTACTTATCTTTTTATTTATTTTAAATGTCTCTCTTTTCACTTGTAACTGTTTTATAATAACGTATGTAGGGAGGAATTTTAACAAAAAGTCACGCTAGGTCAAGAAATTCTGTTTCTTAAATTTAAAGATGTTTTCTCTTCAAATCTTGGCAAGAAAAAAGTCAATCATAATTTTTTTTCTATTTTCTTCATCACCCTATAAACTACCACTAGTAATCAGTGCAAGAACCACTATTATTAATGCCTCTCAATTTTATGTATAGTCTTATCCCTTATACTTCATTTACTCATTCAAGGATGCAAAATTTCAGATGTTTTCAAGTTCAAATACTCTCCATTTGTGTTCAACATATCCACTAAGCACTGTAATGAAATACAAAAACATTTCAGGATAATTTTAATTGTAGCTTTGTAGCAATGTCCACCTGTTGTTCATCGATTTGCTCGGTGGGACTAGTAATGTCTCTGTTGTGAGACTTGTTGTTACTGTGTTTGACATATTGAATATGTCACGGGTAACTTACCAGGCTTTGCTGTGAGGGCGAGATAGCATCAGTTGCTTGCCGGGCTCTCCGAGAGGGCTCCAGTTGGGAGCGATAGCACAGCGGGTAGGGCATTTGCCTTGCACGCGGCTGACTAGGGATAGATTCCTCCGCCCCTCTTGAAGAGCCCAGCAAGCTACCGTAAGTATCTCGCCTGCACTGCAAAGCCTGGCAAGCCCGTGACATATTCAATATGCCAAACACAGTAACAAGTCTCAAAATGTTACTGGGCTCGCTCGAGCAAATCGATGAACAATGGGAGGACAGTGACAGAATTTTAATTAAAAATTATTATTATTTGTTTTTTCCCTGATTTGGCAAGTTAAATTAATTCTTCTATAAAGGACTTCTGTCAATATTTTAAAGTTAATTTTACATAAAATTTACAATTTTTTATGTTTTTCTGTTATTTTTAGAATTGATATACTAATTCTCCTATTGTTTTTTTTTTCTCCTACCTGTTGTTTTTTGTCTCTTGACAATTTTATTTCGTTTATAAAATACAATTATCTAGGCAAAAAATCAGCACAGGTTATTCCTCTGTGAATCCTATAAATTCTGACATCTGACACTGAGCTTAATTTATACTTCTGCTAAAGCCCCACAGACTTCAAGGGTTTTTCCAGCAATTTTGGGTAATTTCTTCATGTGGGAGATTTTTTGATGCACAGACAATAAATGAATTTAGGTATAGTTTCTAATTTTTCACTGGCAACGTTTTTTCAATGTTGCAGCTTCAGCCAGACTTTAGGAACCTGAGTTTTCCAGAGCATTTTTAGGCTCCATTCTCATTAAGGAGAGGGACTTCCATAGATTTGGCACACACCAATGCATGGCATCATCTTACCCAAGAAGAGTGTCATCTCCCAGGATAGCAGACCCTTCCATCAAACACTGAGCCAATGTTGTCAAAGGCAATTTTTTCTGAAAGAGGGGAAAATGCAATGAAAACCACTTTAAAAGTCATCTGCTTATGCTAACAACAGTTAAAAGTCAAATATTTGCATGGAAAGCATATTAGCTAAGAAAAACACTCATTCAAATATGTTTAAATTAACATTCATAGGATACAATGGGGCTGGAGAAACAGCACAGCAGGTAGGGCATTTGCCTTAGAGAGTCCGGCAAGCTACCAAGAGTATCTTGCCCTCAGGGCAGAGTTTGGCAAGCTATCCATACTCCATATGCCAAAAACAGTAACAAGTCTCACAATAGAGATGTTACTAGTGCCTGCTTGAGCAAATCGAACAATGGGAGGACAGTGCTACAAAGCTACAGGATACAATGATGTGTCAGATATGTCAGAATTCAGAATAAAGCTGAATTCAAGTTGCTAATTTAGAAAATAAACCGAATTTTATGCTGAATTTTAAAATAAAGTGGAATATTAACAAGGAAAAATGGACAAGACTTCAATGTTATGTAACCAAAAATTTACACAAAACCTTTAATTTCTAAAAGCCAATCCAATATCCAATAAATGTATTGTCCCTTTTTAAATTTATTTTATTTTATTTATTTTTGCTTTTTGGGTCCAATCCAGTGATGCACAGGGGTTACTCCTGGCTCTGCACTCAGGAGTCACTCCTGGCGGTGCTTGGGGGACCAAATGGGATGCTGGGAATCGAACCCGGGTTGACTGCGTACAAGGCAAATGCCCTACCCACTGTGCTATCACTCTAGCTCCCATCCCTTTTTTTAAACAAGAGACCATGAGGTTCTTGTTTTAAAACAAGAGAGAAGCTCACACATAATTACAATAGACAGCATCCAAATGTAGGCACACTCCAAAAATACAAAAATGACCCATAAGCACAATAAAAAGTGTTTAAATTAGTAATTAAAAGAATAGCAAAGCCATAATAAGATACCATTCACTAGGCTGGCCATGAAAATATTATAATGCATACCTTTTAAAAACAAAAATATTCTTGAGTGTGAGAAGTGTAGGTCTGTATACATCATTGGTAGAATTGTGAAATAGCACAATTCTATAGAAACTTAAGTGGCAGTAGTTTAATAGGTTAAAAAATTTTACTACCTGGCATAACAACTCTAATCTTGGGTAGCACTGCACTGTAGCACTGTCCTCCCGTTGTTCATAGATTTGCTTGAGTGGGCACCAGTAACGTCTTCATTGTGAGACTTGTTGTTACTGTTTTTGCCATATTGAATATGGGTAGCTTGCCAGGCTTTGCCATGCGGGCAGAATACTCTCAGTAGCTTGCTGGGCTCTCTGAAATTGGCGGAGGAATCAAACCAAGTTCAGCCACGTGCAAGGCAAATGCCCTACCCACTATGCTATCACTCCAGCTCAATCTTGGGTATATACTCAAATATAACTAAGCCCCAATGGCCAAACAAAAACATATACATGGATATGAATGACAGCACAATTCACAATAGCCATTGTATAAATAGCCCAAAGTTCTGTCAACAGGTAAGTGAATAAACAAAATATGCTACAATTATAGAAATGAGTATTATTTAGTCATGAAAAGAAATGAAGGAATGAAGTCCTGATACATAAAGGAAGTCAAAAACAATCATGCAGGTAAAATCAGTCAAGCAAAAATTTAAAAAAAAAACACCACTGTATGATTCTACCTACAAATATTTAGATTAAGAAATCCCTCCACATAGAAAGATTGGTGATTATCAGGGACTGGAAATAAAGAAAACAGGAAAGAATGCTGAATGGACAGGCAGTTTTCTTTTCTGATGATGAAAATGTTGTGGAAGTAATACAACAGTTGCCCAACACCTTAAATATCAAATGTTGTGAACTGTATACCTGGGGGGGGGGGAGTGTCTGGGTCACATTTTGAGCTGTGATCAAAATTTACTTCTGGGTATGTGTTCAGGGCTCACTCCTGGAAGTGGTTGGGGGATCATCGGTAGTGCCTGGAGGTTAGTGGGGGCAGACTGAACCTAGGCTGGCCTCTATATGTGTTAGCAAGAACTTTATGTGTTATACTATCTCTCCAGCCTTGAATTGTACATTTAAAATAGTTAAAATGAAAAATTCTATATGTTAGATGGCAGTAAAATGTTGGGATCTCAGCAGCTAGCCGGAGACTTTGACCAAATCCCCTGCCCCTGGAAACAAGAGCCAGCCCTGTTTACAAAGACCCAGGGGGCCTCTCCAGCATTCCCCACAGGATATGGTTGAGAATGAGGGACAAGACTGTGCAGACCTACCCATATTGTTAACCCAGCGCTAAAAGCAGGATATGTAAATCATTAACTGTAGGAGCCCTATTAGAGTAGCCTGTCCCCTCCCCTCCAGTGTGGGATCCCCCCCCTCCTGCCCCCAGTGTATGTATAAAAGAATCCCTGGGTAGGGGCCAATAAACAGAGAACTGCTTGACTGACCATCAGACTCCCTGCCTCTGTGGCTTTGGCAGGAATCCAGGAATCCGGAGGAGGTGTGAAGAGGGACAGGGCAGAGGCTTTTCCCCTACCCACTCCCTCCCCTTTAGGGAGTAAGTCTGGTGACTGGGGGGGTCCAGTTTGCTTGGGGTCGACTGGCCAGGACCCCGACAGTAAAAGAAGGTGAGAGAAAATACAAGCAGTCAGACAGAAGCATGCTGCTATAAGGATAGCATGACCAAGCATTTAAAACTCTTTAGAATTAAACCACTCAACACAAAATTAAAACTGGATCACATTCTTAGGCCTGTTATCAACACTGCTACACAGATATTTAAGTGGAAAGCCACTGAAGTCTATCCAGCTCAGAGTCTTCTGTGTTATTACATGGAGAATATCAGTCATTCATTAATCTATGAATTGTCTATACAAGCGCCACATTGGTGATGAATCGGACTAGACACGGCTCTTTTAGAAATTATATCTAGCATAGGGAGACAAATAACAAACACAAAAATTATGAAGGAGTGCTTCGAACAATAGGAAGTAGCATAACGGGTAGAGTGTACTGATGTGAGGAATAGAGAAAGACTGGAGAAAACCAGCTCAGAGGGATGTTACATTTTAGGTACCTGAAACAAGAGAGTCAACATATCTCAAGAAGATTTGGGGAAGAACATTTTAGGCAAAGGAAACTGTAAGTACAAAGGTCCACTAGGGGCACTAACATGACCAACTACAAGTACCCAAGGAGTCCAACATGGCTGAAGCGACAGAGGCGGAGGAGAGGGGCTAGGCTGTCTACAGTCTTGGCCAGATGCAGCACAGGGGCAAAGCATGCATGTGAAGGGCGTCTGTACAACATTACAGGGCTTATTTTAAGACCTTGTTCAAATAAAAATAAATCAATTTTTTTGACAAACAACTTTAGGACTTGAGAGGAATCAAGCTGTGGAAATATTTTTTTAGCGCCTCAGTCATCAGAACTTAAGAAGATGATTTGAATATCTGGAGATACATGTATTCTAAGACAGCCTTCAGCATTTTTACACTTTGGTTCAGTATCTACTTTACTAGGTTCACAGACAGAGTTAGAGCCAACCTTTCTCTACCTCAGACCAGCACTGGTCCACAGACTGGTGGCTGAAGATCACTGTTCTAAGGTATCTCCAGGTAAGATGCTGGAGAAGGGCAGATAGATGGCCAGCCACCAAAAAGTGATATGGAGTCGAAGTTAATGTAGTTCCTGAGGAAAGACCAGGTAAAGGAGGTGAATTGGGTACATTAGAAGAGTTGTGTGAACAATACCCAATAATCCAAGGGGTCTAAAATGTATCCTTCTCCTGACATTTTGACATGTCCACACCATCACAGTAAAATAACTTTAACTTGTGAGAGTTAAGTCGTAACTGCAAATGAAATGTGAAATTCTTGGAAAAAAAACTGAAATGAAATGGGAAATTCTTGGCAAAATCTTGAGTAAGCAATTCACTATTAATGCACTCAGACTCTATTCTCTAGTGTCTTAAGATGCTTAGGTACACATTTCCAGATACTTGATTGAAGACACAAGAACATTTCCTTAGGAGAGCATCTATTTCTATCACCGTTTTAAAAGTTATTTAAAGCACATTTTAAAAAAAAAACTGAATGAAGTGGTTTACAAATAGAAGCAGGAATACATTTTTTTTTAAGTTCAGAGTAATGTATTAGTTCTTAATAACAGGTGATTTTGTCCTCTTAGACATTTGTCAAGGTCTAGAGACAATCTGAGTTGTTATAGCATGGAAACACTACTAGCATCTAGCAAAAACTGAAAAATTCGTATTTTGGGGGGGGTCACACCTGGCAATTCACAGGGATTATTCCTGGCTCTGCACTCAGGAATTACCCCTGGCTGTGCTCAGGGGACCATATGGGATGCTGGGAATTGAACCCGGGTTGGCCACGTGCAAGGCAAACACCTTATCCACTGTGCTATTGTTCCAGCCCAAGAAACTGAGCAATTCCTAAAAATAAGAAATTACCCAGCTGAGATCATAAAGTGTCAGGTAGAGAAATGGTTTGATGCATTAACCAGCACCACAATTTATGTTAATTAAACCACATTCAAGTGTGTCCCACCCACTACTGGTACACACTGGCATTAATGTGTTAAGTAATATGCCCCAATAATCTATCAGCAAGAAACCATGATGCCCAAAAGTAGAGAGAGAGAGTAAGAAAGAAGGTGTCTGCCACACAGGCATGGGGTCAGATGGGGTGAGGGAGGCGGAAGGGATACTGAGGACATTGGTGATGGAAAATGCACACTGGTTGGAAGAATGGGTGTTTAATCATTGTATGACTGAACTCAACCATGAAAGCTCTGTAACAGAATCTCACAATGAATCCATTAAAATAAAATTTTTTAAAAAATCTACAAGCAAGGACGTCACATCATGAACATCAAAAATACAGTGTTGTGGGACTGGAGTGATAGCACAGTGGGTAGGGTGTTTGTCTTGCACACAGCCGACCTGGGTTCGATTCCCAGCATCCCATATGATCCT